GACTTTGTTTGCTCCTCTCCTTCGTCAAGAAGAGAACTTTTCGTGTCCTCACTCTGGACTTCCTGGACATTTTCCTGGTATGACCCCCCGGGTTATGCAATCCACAGTTCGAGATCAAAGACAATTTGGGGGGGGTCACCCTTATCTTAACATCTTATCAATACATAAGTATAGTAAGATGTCAGGGGGGATATTGTAGGGGTCACCCTGGTGAAAAAAATCTGAGAAAAAGATCTGTTCAGGTCACAAGTTCTTTTCTCATTCATGATCAGAGGGGTGTTTCATTATTTCTGATTTCATTTCTTGCAAGGTCTTGCTGAATTACATTTATGAAAATAGGCTGGTCCTGATTTCATTAAGTAATTCCTACAACGTCGTCATGTTGATGATGTCTTCCTCTTGATGATGTCATCCTGCAGGTGGTCATGGGAAACACGGACAGCACCAGCACCTTCGTTCCTCCGGTCAAACCCTCGTTCGGCTTCTCCAAGAAGGAGGAGGTGCTTTCGGCCCGCAGCTGGTGGAGGAGCAACACCAAGAGCCGGGGTCGGAGCTACCTGAGCCAGCCCGCCTCCTGGCGTTACGAGTCGGGCCAAGGGAGCTCTAAGCTGAGCTACGGTTCACCTCAGAGGTTCAGCAGGAGTCCGCTCGGGTTCCAAGGGAGCGACGGGGAGCGAACGTCTCTGGAGAGCGGCGGCAGCCCGAAGGTGCAGCTCAGGAAAGATGGCAGCATGAGGGTGGAGTTTACCAACGCCAGGGTGGCTCCTGCCGAGCCGCAGGGTGCCCCGCCCGGTACCGGTGCCGCTCCAGAACCGTCCCTCCGGACCAGTAAAGGCAGCTCGCTCAGCTCGGAGAACTCCTGGTACGACTCGCCGTGGGGCGGAGAGCAGACGGACAGCGTCTTCATCTGTGGGCGGAGTCTGGACAACAGCAGTGGCTACAACACTTTCTCCTCTGCTCAGGCGGAGGACATATCACCTGGGTTTAGCTCCGCCCACCTGTTCCAAACTGTTGGCCACAACAGCTGCTCCTCCGGCCGCACCGATGATAGCGGCATCGGAGACTCCCTGATCCTGCAGCAGGACTCCCGAGACCTCAGACCGGTCCCGCCTTCGGGTTTCTACAGCCGTCATAACATGCCGCCCGCCTTCCCGCCGCCGTCTGAAACCATCACCACTGAATCCAACTCCTTTTCCACCGCGTTCGAGACCTGCTTCCAGGAGCAGCGGGAAAACTCCACCTCCTCATTTTCCTCTACGCTGGATGATGTCATGGCTACAGTTAGAGACGTGGAGCCGCAATACTGCACCTCCACACTACCCTGTCGTAAATTGGAGCCTGGAAGCTCCGCCTCCTCTGGGAACAGAAAAGACTTCCTAAAGAGCCGAATCCAACAGCTGAGCGACTGGACAGGAAGTCTGAGCCGAAAAAAGAGGAAGATCCAGGTAACAGCTGACCTTTCAAAATAAAATACCAAAAACAAATAAATATTTAAAACAAGCCAACAGGAAGCAGGAAGTTCTGCTGAACCGAACTTTTTTTCACAAACAGCTGAAGTTATGATTTCTCTGCAGGAGCCGAACGGCGCCGATGCCTCGGACGTCTTCATCAACGGAGCGACCGGGACCGTTCTGTGGTCCTCCAACCCCCTGCACCACCAGAACCAGAACCTGGTCCCTCTGACTCAATGCTGCAACGCTCAGAGGCAGGACGTCTATCAGAACTTCATGCAGGAGCTGGCGGCGGGCTGCAGCAGCGCGGACCACCGCACCGACCCATCAGAGGAGGAGGAGGAGGAAGAGGACGACGTTGAGGAGGAGAAAAGAGGAGGGGAGGTTCTGGTGGACGAGGAGCAGGCGGTGGTCCGGCGGGCCGGCTGGCTCTCCTTTAAAGCTCTCCTCACCATCAACAAGGACAGGAAGTTGCAGCTGGTTTCCTGCCGCAGGTGGAGGCGTTACTGGGTCACACTGAAAGGTGAGCTCTGATTGGTCCAAAGCTCCGCCTCTTAATGGGATTTTCTAATTAATTAAGGTTATCAGACAGTAAATATTAGCTTTAAGCCAACAGGATTTAAAGTGTATCTTACCCCCCCGGTGAAAAGATACAGTGGTTTGCAAAAGTATTCATACCCCTTGAACTTTTCCATATTTTGTCACATTACAACCACAAACATAAATATATTTCACTGGA